ATAGCGAGTCCGTGCTGGCCCCATCCCCATGCTCCAAGCATGGACCAGGTGGGTGCCGAAATCACTGGTGTCCCCACTCTGCTGGCTGCTCTCGGGGGGCCCCAACACCCATGGGCACCCCCGGGTGTGACGGGAGGGGAGCTGAAGCCTGGCTGTGGGGCGAGAGCCACCCACATGCCGAGGGAGGCTGAGGACAGAGCGTGGCCCTCGTCCCCAGGCTGCGTCCTGGTGCCGGCGTGCTGCCAGCCCAGTGCCCCTGCCCAGCTGCAGCCAGGGCTGCCCAGTCCTGCTCCTCCCTGCCGGGGCCTCTGTGGGCAGCACCTTGCTGGGCTGGGGCTCTGGCTGCCTGCACCGGGCTGAGCCCCAGCGCTTTCCGGGCTGGCAGGCGCGGCACAGGGCACGGAGCCACCCGCCAGCCACGTCCCCCACGGAAGCAACACCGTCCCCTGCCTGTGCTGCAGCCAGCTCCGTGGAGCCTGCTGGTCTGAGGAGCTCGCTGCTCCTCTGGCTGTGTGTGGGGCTGGGCCTCAGGTCCCCCCCTCAGCCGGGGGGAGCACAGCCCCGGCCGCAGCCCCAACCGCTGCCATCCCTCGTGGCCCCGCTGGCTCCAGTGAGTAAATCGGGTGCAGATGTGGAGGCAAGGCCAGGCGCCTGCTTGCGATTAGGGGCTGGGAGCATCGGGGTGGCCCCATTTCTGCCTCGCAGCCCCCTGTCGCACCGCTCCCAGGAGGAGCCCCTGATGCCCCGCGGGGGACAGGGCTGGCAGACAAAGCTCCTGCTTGCTCGGCCCCTGTATGGGCACCATTGTGCCCAGCCCAGCACATGGTGTGGGCCGTGTCCCCAAGGGGAGTGGCACACCCCGTGCACCCCATTCCCTGTGCCAGCTGCAGCCCCAGTGCTGCCCGGCACAGCCGGGACGGGCAGGGGCGACAGGGCTGCAGCGGGGATGAGGTGTGGCACTGCCCGCTCTGTGCTGCCAGGCCAGCCCCAGCCCCGTGTGCTCACAGCGCGGCCCTCGGTGCCCGAATCTGTGGGTGCTCCTGTGCCACGCTGGGGGCTTGGCCTAGGCCCAGGGCCCCGGTGTCCCTGTGCCGCAGGCCCCACACTGGGCCCCACGTTCTCAGCTCCCCAGAGGGAGCAGCAGGTTCATGTTTGCCAAGTTCTGCCTGGTTAAACCTTAACCGGGCCAGGTTGCTCCATCAGTCCCTCCCTGCCGGAGATAAGGATGGACAGGCGAGATCAGGGCCTGGAGGGGCGCGCTGCCCCGAGCCCAGCTGCTCGCCTCCAGTGCAGGACCTGGCCCCTGAGGAGCGTCCTGCCCGGCCTGGGGTGGGCTGCCTGCCCCTCCGGCTCAGCCCCTGCCCGCCGACTGATACAAGGGCAGTGGGTCATGGCCAGGGCTGGAAGCCGCCATGTGTCAAGGCCAGCGGGGCTGGATGGAGCCAGGAGCCCTTGTGCTAGGGCAGCCCAGGACCCCCATGCTCCGGGGCTGGCCCACTCCCTCAGTGCCGGGGGGGTTCACATCACCTTGGCATGTGGCACGAGCATGCTCAGCCTCAGCCCCCGGGCCCCATGCATGTATGGGGTACAGGGAGCCGGGGAGCCTGCGCCCCAAACAACAGCCATTCAGGGGAGGCCAAGAGAAACTTCCAGGAGGAAGGAGCCCCCCGGGCTCCAGCCCCCCCAGAAGCCACCATGCCGTGCGCACTCACGCTGGCCGCAGGTGCCACCACAGCGGGAGCGGCGGCGACCGCTGGGGCCAGGCACAAGGGGCGGCTGTGTTCCCACAGCCCCGGCTGCCTTCCAAGAGCAATATTGTTGGCACCAGGCAGGCTCCCTGCGCCGGCAGCGCATACACGGGCCTTTCATGAGGGGAGCGGGGATGATTTACTGCCTGGGGGAAGGGGCAGGGGCGGGAGGATGGAGCCCCAGCATGCCGGCCCCGGCGCGCCCAGCCCCTCACGCGTGCTCACGGCTGCAGGGCCTCGCGCACGTAAGCGAGGCCGAGGGTCTGGCCAGGGGGGTCACCTCTCCTCGGTTGGGCATGGGGCAGAGTGGGTCCCACTGCCCCATCTGCACCATGCCAGCCCACTCGCTGCCCCATCTGCGGGACCCTCGGGATGCGCTCCCTTCCTGGGCACCCTGCTGCGACTGAGCTCCCATCCTCTGTGGCTTGGCGGCTGGGGGGGCACGTGTCCCTTGCGGGGCCCCCAGAGCTGATGGGAGCAGCCCGCGGGGCTGGGGGGGACAGGGGCAGCAAAGGAGGGTGCTGGGGCAGGGGTGCACCCGCAGCATGGGGCGCTGGCGCTGGCACAATCCCCCCTTGTTCAGCTGCTGGCGTGGCGGAGGCCGTGGCGGTGCTGCCGGCAGTGGGTGGCAGGCGGTGGGGCTGTGCTGCCGTGGGGGGCTGTTTGTTTGCCATCAGTTGCTGTTATAAATCAAGCCAGGCAGCCCGACCCCCAGCCCAGTGCTGCCCCACGGCAGGGAGAGGACCGGCTCCCAGCTGCCTGCAGCACAGCCCCACCGTCAGCACAGCCCCACTGTGCCCCAGCCTGTGCCCGGCATCACCCTGGCCTGGCAGGGATGCTTGGTGTGGCACAGGGTGACGTGCCAGCACTGGTCCCCTTGCCCTGCTCCCGCCCGGCACCGTACCCAGCACTGGGGGACCTGGCTGGGGTATGGGGGGGTCTCTCCATGCCCATCCCAGGCTGTGGCTCCCACGGGCTCCCCCGAGTCCCAGCTCTTCCCCAGCGTTCCTGGCGCTGGGAACGACCTCTCCTCTCTGGTTTTAATTTGGTTTCGGTTCGAATCGAGCTGAACCCAACATTTTTCTGTGCTTCCGGCATGCTGCGAGCTCTGCAGAGGCGGCTGCTGCTCCGTGAAATTGATGTTCTTGTCCGCTTCACGCGCTGGCAGGAATGAACAGCTGCCGGGGGCTGCCAGCTCCGGGGACTGCTCCGTGTGCCCCTGCGCCCCAGGGGGGGGGGACCAGCCCCCCAGGGTGGGGACCAGCAGCCCAGGTGGGGAGCAGCACGGGGTGGATGGTGCTATGGGGGATTGTAGCACCAACCAGCCCTTGCAGTGAAACTGTGTCGTGCTGGAAGTTGCTGGTTTCGCACAGTAGAGCAGCATGGACAAAGCTGTGCCCTGGCCCTGGTGGCGTGGCCCTATGGGGTGGGGGGTGACAGTGACAGCCACACCCCGCTCACACGACCTCAGGATCCATGCAGAGCATGGGCAAGGCTGCATGCAGGGCTCACCACGGCCCCGGCAGGTCTTGCTGGAAAGCAGAACGACGGTGAAGCAGGTAGCGATGCAGCCAGGGAGAGCAGCTCTGGGGCCGGATCCTGAGCATGTGCTGGGGGGATCCTCTGTCCCCTCTTACTGGCAGCAGGATGCTCAGGGGAGGGTGTGCCTGGGGACCGTGCCAGCTCGGAAGGTCTGAGGCCAGGCTTCCTCCTGTGCCCAGGGGTCTTGTGTGGGCAGGCAGGCAGGCAGGCAGCAGGGCCTGGGCACGGTGGGGTCTGCCCGCTCCGGTGCAGGCAGCAGCTTGGGGAAAACGAAGGCAAAGTGTTTATGGGTCAGATTAGGGCCACTCCAACCCTGGCTCGCGGCCTCGCGGTGTTTTACGATGCTCCGTTATGGGCTCCTAATGAGGGTCACAGCCGCTTTATGGCGCCGGCAGCGATAACACTGCAACTAATTGCTGCAAAATTAGCAAGCGGGCTGCCGGGCACCCAGCAACATGCAGCACCCAGCCCGAGCCAGGGCCACCCACCAGGGTGGGTACCGCTGCGTGGAGCCCTTGGCATCTCCGGGGCCGGGTGCCTCCCTGCTCCTGGCAATCAGGGTGCCACGGGGGGAAGGGGGGGCAGAAGCGGCCTCACCACCCCCTGCCCGATGTGCTACTCCGGGCGTGGGAGAAAACCTCCCCT